CAGACCTAAAGCATGACTTTGGTTACCATTTAAATCTGCTGTAATTTATATTTTACATTGAAAACTGGTCACATAACCTTTATATGTGAGCGTGGCAGCTCGCACTGATTTACACACTCAGTGATATAAATCATCATTTAGTTGCAAAAAATATATTGTATTTCAACACGTTGGAAATTAGAGCTACAGCTTAGTGAACACTGAATAGATTTTACAGGTGACCAAAACTAACTCAGCTATTACAATAACGCTTTTTTACACGATAAAAACATACAAACACTTAGTGGATAATATATTATTGCTGTTGTTATGTTAACAGCTCATACTCACCTTCCCTACCACCAACATAATTAAGACATTTGTCAGTTCCTCCAGCGTCCGGCCTTGGGCTAAAGTAAACGCTTCCAAGCACCAGCCATCTGCAAAGAGAAACTACTGTGGTAATTTTGCTCATGTTTAAATGATCTAATGAACTTACATTTTTTTAAAATAAGGAAGTATTTAACCCACATGCAATTATTTTACTGTAATGAAGAAAGTGAAAATAAAAGCCTTATTAGCTATGGTACTACTAAGCATGCTAGCAGTTTAAATTAAGAAATGCAACACGTCTGTTGTTTTATATACAGGAAGAAGAGACAGCAGTGCTGATTCCATTTCTATTTGTTTACAACATGAGTTACAATGACTAGTGGTTGGCTTACCATCAGTACAACGTCAGCCATGTATACATTACAATAGATGGTTAGCTTAGCATTAATAATCATTCTTTCTGCTGATCCTCTCAGGGCTCGCCGTAGCAGATTGCCTACCTCCATCTTTCCCGAGCATCCTTCATGTTAAACCAGTATGGCTGGGCATCGTCACTGATTTCTATAACTGATTCGATTCAATCCCAGATTCTGTTTCATTCATTATTTCACTCATTTTTTGACTCAGACAGTCAGAAATACTATAATTATGATCATTTATCAATACACTGGAAGCAAAACTGCAGAATAAGAGGGACTTCATGACGAAACCTGCAGCTTCAGAATCTGTGAGACACCGCCTTTTGGCGGCGTGTCCACATATGGGTGGGTGGATGGCGGGTGAACGGGGGAAATCTGCGCTTTGTGCTTTACACCTTTTCCCGTTTACCTGCTCTTTAATCATTTGCATTTTTAACTGTTTGGCAGATGTTTAAATTGTTTTGAGAAGCTTTAACTTGAGCTTCTGGCGTTTCTGGCAAAATGCATTTATATTAAAAAATTGATTCAGGATTTAATGAATCGATATCGCTTTAGTCAAACGAAATTCGATTTGAATCGGGAAGTCCATTTAATTATTACACTTATGTTTTAGGTGACACATATTTTTATATAAGAGAAAGGTTAACCGAGCAAATACAGAAATGCAGTTTTTAAATAATTTCATTTGTTAAAGCTAAAATCTTTTAAAAACCTATCCAAACCTGCCTGGCTCTATGCAGAAAAAGTGTCTGCCCCTAAATCTAATAATTGGTTGTACCACCTTTGGCTGCAGTCAAGCATTTGTGATAATTAGCAATGAGACTATTTTTTACACGGCTGTGGGGGAATTTTGTCCCACTCTTTTTTCTAGAACTGTTTTAATTCAGCTACATTGTTGGGGGGTAGGGGTAGGGAACTCCAGGCTTCCTGCAGGTTTTAGATGTGTCCTTGATCCAACACAGCTGATTTAAATGTTAAACTATCTCCTCAACATGTCTTGAAGTTCTCCAGAGGCCTGGTAATGAACTAATGATTTGATTCAGGTGTGGAGACCCAGGGTGAGCTCTAAATCCTGCAGGACACCGGCCCTCGAGGACCAACGTTCCCTACCCCGTTGCAGGGTTTTCCTGCTGTAACGGCCTATTTAAGGGCATAGCAAAGCATCTTAATCAGAGTCCAGTACCTTTAAGGAAATCCTTAGAGACAATGCACAAAGTCTTCCTGCTGCTCCAGATGGCATCTCTGATGTTTGAAAGGTGATCCTCACCTGGCAGGAAGTCTCGGGCCTCGAAACAACAGTGAAAAAGATTCTCTTCTGAAAACTGGTTATCCAGCTTCTTTAGTAAAGCAGCCTCCACCCACCGGTAGTCCCTGTTGCTAAAACAGATAAACGCATCATACCTCATCTCATCCACAAGAGGCATCAGTTTGGGACCCTTGAGAACCCTGCTGATGATCTTTTTGTAGATGATGAATATTTGTCCTCGGAGACGAGCGTAAATGATTCCAGTAAGAAGGACAATAATGATGAGTGAGGCAGAGAAAAGGAAGACAGCAAACTTTAGACCTTGGACTGCCTGTTCGGGATCCGTCTCACATGGTTCGATGATTGTGGAGTAATTCAGCAGAGGAAGGCCCTGGAAAGCAGCTGGAAACTCGCATCTTAAGTCTTCAATTGGGCTCAAAAACGTGACATTAGTTGTGTTCAGCCACTCCAGGAAGTTCCCCAGATTGCAGTCACAGTGAAAGCGAGTTGCTGACAGACTGAGAATGCTGAGAGACTGAAATGTCATAGGGTCGGGGGAGGCTAGGAAGTTGTTTGAAATATGGAGCCATTTCAGGCTGATGGGAAAAACATCTGGCTGCAAAAAGGTCAAGGCATTGTACGAAAGGTCCATCTCTATGATTGAGCTGAGACCCCTGAAGATCCCATTTGGGAGGGTCGTGAGTGAATTAAGGCTTATATTTAAACCGATCAGATTTTCAAGATGGTCAAACAAGTCGAGGCACTGCCCCTGTGCCCAAATTATCTGCAGGGAACTATCATGAAGATCTAGCACTTTCAAACTGTTATTAAGAGGTTCAAACACATAGTTTCGTTTGCACCACTTGATGATGTTGTCACCATAGAATAAAACCCGAAGTCTCGAGAAATAAGTTAAAATGAAAAATACATCCTCCATATTTGTTAATCTATTTTCTGAAATATCGACATGGATACTGTTCATGGCCAAGTCATCAATTCCATTGCGAGATTTCAACTTATTATCTCTCAAAAACAGATATTCTAAATTTGGTAGTGATGTAGGAAAACCCAGTTCTCGCAGTGAGTTTGATGCCAGATCTAAATACTGTAAGTTAGGGAGACCGCTGAATGCTTTGTATCCCAAAACACCAATGTGGTTTTGGGACAAGTCCAATATCCTAAGTTCTCTCAGATTGGTGAATGTGTGAGAATGTATTTGTCCTAAAAGGTTGGATGACAAGTTGAGTATTAGTAAATGATCCTGAAGACCATCAAAAGCATTTCTGTTAATCTGATTGATTCTGTTTAGTGAAATATCGATCTTCTTTGCATCTCTTAGATGACTGAACACGGCACTCTGCAAAGCAAATATGCGGTTGTTAGAGACATCCAAACTTTTCACTGCACTGTTTTTCAGGCCTTCAAATGTGTTTTTATCTGGATCTGGGAAGTTCTCATGTGAAAACCCTTTGCCCAAGATTCCAGAGTATTTAAGATGAGAAATCGGAGTCCCTTCTAATGCTTTGAAAAACTGCCTTGTTTCGTTCACATTTAGTCCACTGGAAGTTAAATCGAGAACATCGAAGGCTAGCTCTTTGAAAGGGTTCCCACAGTTTCCCCATTCATCATTGTGGTATAACTTGTTGGAGTCCAAGTTCAGGAGCTCAAACCTTTTACCCCTGAAACTTACAAGATCTTCTTCACATATGTTTTCGATCTTATTTAGTTTGAGTTTCAGCTGCGTGAACTTTCTGAATCTTGAAAAGAATGGACCTGGCCGCAGTCTCGTTATGTTGTTGAACGAGAGATCAAGGACTTCCAAGGACAAAAGTGGTTCCAGATAGCTTTCTGATAGTATGGAGTCTGTCAGACTACAATAATACAAAGACAGGTTTTGTAAATTGAACAGTCCTGCAAATGCCCTCGGCTGCAGTTTGAGGCCCAGATTAGAACCGAGCATCAATTCTGTTAACTTTCTCTGCCCGAGGAAAGCGTTGTTCCATATGACGAGTGTTTGATCCTGACTTTCAAGATTTAATACTTGCAACTCCTTAAAGTCTCTGAGCGAGGTGCTGTTAATCTCACTGATGTGGTTACTCTGCAGATAGAGGTGGGTGATGTTGTGGGGCAGAGCAGGAACCCAGTAGTGGTTCTGAAAGCCACACCAGGCTCTTTGTCCCCTCAAACGGCATGTTTGGTAGGATACTGTTACCTGCAGATGGGAGGGATACATAACAAAAATCAAGCGATGAAGTCAGCAAAATTACATGTGAAATTATTTAGTAAGAAAAAAAAATCAAAGTCAAAGCTTCATTTTCATGATTAGTAGCCCCCCCCCCCAAATGTCTTTATGTATAACTTCCATGTAGGGCTGCCACAACCGATTATTTGGATTGTCGACTAGTCACCGATTATTTTTGCGATTAATCGACTAATCAGATCATCATCCATTGGACGTAAAACGTACAGCTTATTGCACCATCAGCATCTGCTCTTATATAACTATCATTAGCTTACAGCTTTAAGTGTTTAAAGCTAAAAATAAAGATAAGATGATAGTTTATTAAATTTTAATGAAATCTACAGATTGTTTAGGTGAAGTTTAATAAACTCAGCCGTCTGCTCTTTGCTACCTAAAATATAACACACTGTAAAATGTAATTAGTTCACAGAACTCAAAAAAAGTAAATTCGTTGCCTCAAAAAAATTGAATAGTTTTACTTAAGATGACTAAGTTAAGGCAACTTATTCACTTAGAGTACAGAGTAAATACCTATGTAGTTTCCAGAACTCAAAAAAATATGCAAACTCGTTGCCTCCTAAAAAACTAAGTAAAGCTTACTTAAGATGACTGTTAGGACAACTTATTCATCGCAAGTCTGCAGTATTAAGAATAACTTGATATTTCTGACTGTACAATACTAATTGTTTACCTACTGACAAAAATTTCAAGTTCAACTAAATGAAAAAACTATTTGTGGTAACCTGAATATGACTAAAAATAATTAGCAACACTTTTGGTATTAAGGTTAAAATCAGCCCAACTTTTATTTTCAAACACAACAAAGTATAACAGCCAACATACTTGACACTGTTCTGCTGAGCAACAAACAGTTATGTTGCCATCACTGTTATAATCTTACAATGAAACAAAGTCTCAGATGTAATTATTCTGAAAATAAGTTTAGGCCTACCACAAGTTCGTTTTGTACTTACATTACTTATATAATCAAAATAAAATATTTGTTGTTCTGTCACAAGTGCAGTCTCTGATTTAAACAACACATTTGTTTTTCATTCCAACACAGGAGCTGGAATGTTGTAATGTTTTAAGGATGCTTGTTTCCAGTCCAGGCATTACTGCCTGAATGACTGTCATGGATCGAGGTGATCCACATGTAGGTGCAGAAGAAGGTCTGTAACTTCCCTTCAGTACAGTGGCAGTGGATGTGGGTTGGAGATGCAATGAGCTTGAACCTGCAGGCGACCATCTTCACTGACCACACCATCTGTGACGGAGGACTCATCTCTCCTGGTGTCCTGCAAGCAAACAATCATATTTTTTGGACATGAACTTAATTGCTTTCTTAAAACATTTTTTTCTGCATTTGGTATAAAACAGACTCCAATTTAGACAATCTCAGGCCCCCTCCCCACCAGAGAGGTGACATTCAATGTCCCACTGTCAGTCTGGATAGCCGTGACCACCACCCAACACACAATAATGCCATGAAAGCATCATTTTAAAAAGGGCTATGCAAACATGGCCAATAACTTTCATTCTAATGATGTGCAAAATGATTTGGGCACAAAACAAATTTTGCTGTTAGAAAACTTGCAGACTTCACTATATACAGTGTAGACCCTCTAAACTAAGTTTGGGGGATGTGATCTTTCAAGAAATGCAGACAAACTGTTGTTGTTTGTTTACTTACACAGCACGTCTTGTAGAATTAACTGGAGTCCCAGCAACAGCATAGTGCAGTCATATCTCAAGTCTAATAACAGAAGACAGGAAAAGATCAGTAAAGAAACAACTTCCCCAAACCAAAGCACAAATAAAACAATAAGTAAAACAGGCTGATCTAAAGTATGATTAAAGTCCAGCCTGATTAATATAAATGTCACTGACAGTTGCTAATATATTGGAAAACCAAAATACTTACTGATGTCTTTCTGTCCAACAGCAGGAGTGCTGGTCCCGAGCCTCAAAGACAGTAAGAAGCAAGCAGAGGGAGAAAAAACAACATTTTTCAGAAGTTGATTTGATCCTTAATGGCTGTGCAGTCATAATAACTTACAACACAGAGGGTCCATGTAGACCCCATACAACCAAATTAGACTAACATAGTATTAAAAACACCATCTACTACTGTGTCTGAATGTGTGGTATTGGCACTGTCAGTTTAGGCCTAAAGAGATATGTGTTTAAAAAAAGACCATCTATATCATCATTACATGCTTATTAAAAGCTAACTTCCAATATATAAAGTTTCTTATAAGCAAAATGACCAGGTCTAACATATGGCAGGGTTTATATGCAGTGTTGGGACTAACGCGTTAAGTAACGCGTTACAGTAACTACGTTATTACTGTGGTAACGAGCACGGTAACTAGTTATTATGCCAAAACCAGGAACGCATTAGTCGTTACTGGGATTTAGATAGGCTCGTTACTCGTTACTTCGTGTGTGGTGGCTATCGCGGAGCTTCCACAGATTCAGTAACATTAGCAAGTGGTGGAGGCAGCAGGTGGAGGAAGGAAAGGGGACGCAGAAGGAAGAGAGACCCGAGGCGACCGCCGGTCCAAGTGTGAACTGAACTTCAGGTAAGAAGTTCTGACCTGCAGTCTCTCTGGGTCAGATATGAACCAAGTTTAGGTGGAGTTTATTTTCGTTATGCTGACTTTTTCCGTACTGCGTGCTAGCTAGCATGACGGAGTTTCTATACAGCTGGGTGGGTGCTATGATGTTAATGATGTTGAACTTTATTTTGTTCATAAGTTATTAGAGTTGCCAACCGTCCCGTCTGGTATTCAGAGAAAATATTACGCGTTTCTTATTGAGGTGAAAAGGAACAGTTTGTCCCGTAATTCAGCTACAATGAAAAAGACACAAAGCTGCAGTTATTCTGTGTTTACGCTGCACAGCTGCTTCTTCTTCTCTCATCCTCTCCCCCTGCCTCTCCTGTTGCTACTTCAATCATGAAACTGATCAATGATCAGCTGATCGGCTCTCTTGTTTGTTTATCGCTCACTTTGCGCCAGAAAGAGGAAACCAGCGGATGTCGCGCTAAACAACAGCAGCACGTTTAAGCTTGATCAGCTGTTGTTATAATTTATTTAATATTAATTTCTAGTATCAGCTGATGTTTGCTGGAGCCACAGCTGTAAACCTGCTGGTCATGATATTGGTTTGGATATGTGGTGAGAGGGAAACACGAGGATGAAACCAGGAGATGTCCTTACTGGATCATCAGAGCTGTGATGGAGAAACAGGTTTACCTTTTAGGTGACATGAATGAGTTGAAGGGAAGTTATGAACTGTTTCTGAGAGACAAATAACACCAGGATCCTTTTCTAAGCAGCTGACAGCTGGTAACTGTGCAGGGGCGGATCTAGCAAAGTGTTGCCAGGGGGGCATGTAGGGCATTAACAGGGAATGGGGGGCACAAAGAAATACTTTTCTTTCTTATTCTCATTTAAAATGTCTAGCTTTTAAAAAATAATTATCTGAATCTTACAACAAACGATTGATAGATTGATGCATATATACCATCAGAACAGTGAACATCACTGTCACAACAGTGTTTATTTTCATTCAAAGGCTTTATGATTTTTCCTATAATGGTGGGCCGGTCTCTAGTCAAAATGCCCAGGACGATTTTCTGTCCCAGTCCAGCTCTGTATGCAGCTCATCTGCAGTCTGGTGTTACCTACATCTTCCTATTCAGAAGGCAGAATTTCCGAGTTCTGAGTACAATCAAAGCACCACGACTGCAGTTTTTGTGTTGGATGTAAAAGGCGCGCATGATGCTGTGACGTAGGCTAGAATCATGGCGGCGGTCAACGACGGCCCAGGTGTGGGATTTCTCTCGTGGAAATATGCACATTATCTTTTCCTTTGGTAGGTGGCACAGTGCACTGTGGCAAGTAAGCAAACTAGAAGACTGGCAAAGTTATGGAAGCAACACATTAACAAGAGAATTCTGAGTAAAACCAAAGTTACTTTCCCTAGTAACTAGTTACTTTGAAAGTAACGAGTAACTTGAAGTAACTGAGTTACTTTTGATAGAAGTAACTAGTAATGTAACTTAGTTACTAATTTAAAGTAACTTACCCAACACTGTTTATATGTAACATAATGTTTCTTATGATTCAACTGTGGAATTTAACTTAATTCTTTAGAAGGAAAAGCTGTATTACTTTATTCTCAAGTATAAAGCCAACCTAGATGTTAACCATTTAACCGGCCACTAATCTGGATTATAGCTTTCACAACAAAACTTGTTTTTAAACACATTTTTAACAAAACAAATACTATTGTTATTATTATTATTTAAAATGTAATAAAACAGAAAAGTGGTTAAATATAAAAGCAGTTTGCTTATGTTGTTAAACAAAGGCTAGATTTGACATTAATAGATGCCACAGATGTTCAAAAGCTGCCACAAAGTATGAAAAAAAAAACAAATGGACGTCTCCGAAAACGTCTGAGCATTTTTGCAAATATGTGATGTCTTGATAAATCGAGCAGATACTTGAACTTTACACAGCTACATTCTCGCCTGAAAATATCTTAAAAGTCTATTTTGTGACCCAGAAAAAGTTTTTAGCCTCGCTCCTCCGCCATTGCAGCGCTTACAAGTACGCACAGACTCCGACAACTGCGACCGACAAATGCGATCCTCCTTTTCCCCAGATTACCCTTTCTGGGTCACAAAATAACCTTTTAAGATATTTTCAGGCGAGAATGTAGCTGTGTAAAGCTCAAATATCTACTTAATTTATAAAAATATCACATATTTGCAAAAGTGCTTCCACGTTTTCGGAGAGCTCTGTTATCCACCAGCGCGATAGCTGACCGGGAGGTCAAGGCTCGATAGAGTCCACGAGCACAGCTAACTGCCGGCATATCGTTTTCAACCTTGCAGTCTTTTGCTACTCATGTTAAACATGATATATATATATATATAGTTAGTTAGTTAGTTAGTTAGTTAGTTAGTTATGGCTATGGATTGAAAATACCCTCCACACTAACAGCTGAATAAGAGTAAACATTTACTCACCAAGTCAGTGTATCAGGCAAAGATCCACAGCAATGACAACAATAATATCTTGAGCTGAAGCTTCTCCAGGTTTGCTCAACATATTCCATAACAAGTGCACCATGAACATGCGGACTGATCCGTGCTAGGGAGGAGGACGGTAGTGATGTGGCATTTTCAAACCACATCTTTCATCCTTCCGCACTGAGAAGCAAAACTTCCAGCTTACTTAGTTTTTCTAAGTTAAGACAACTCAAATAAATTGAGTTTATCAGCATTTTTATGAATGAATGCTATGAATAGATATGAGCACGTTAGCATGCTACTTCCGGTGCGGAAACTCCTGTGGGGAGTGTAAACAACTGATCGATCTAAACGCTTTAAACGTCAAAATTGATCATTAGATTTTTTATGACACAGCAGTGGTGAGTGTTCCCACCTTCTCTTTGTAACTTAACGCGATCTTTCCGTTTTTGAGTTTTGGCACATGGAGTATATCTTCACAGTAGCGATTGACCACAAAGTAAAGCTACTGGAAATGTACAATCCCACATCCGGTCTCAAACCAGGAAGTTAGCATTTTCTCGTGCACAGGGTCTATTCTGGGACAGAGCTACTTCTTCTTCGGGGTTTAATGGCAGCTGGCATCCTTGTACATGCAGTGCTGCCATCTTATGTTTCAGTCCGTTATTACACTCTTAAATCCTGCTACTTATTCCTGCGTCTTTTGGGATCTTACAAAGCTTCAAACGACGCATCGACTATTAAATTAGTCGTCGACGATTTTGATAGTCAACTAATCGTGGCAGCCCTACTTCCATGGAAGCAGACTTACCTGGTCTTCAGCAACAGTTATCCAGGCCCTCTGAAAGTCAGATAGAGTGTTTCTCTGGCTACTGTTTCACTCATTTTCAGTATGATACTTACACCTTTACATGTTTGTTTTTGTCATTTGTAACGCCACTTAACACTGGCCTAAAGACAAAAAGGTGCCTAACCCAAGGGCTGAATATGTGTCTTCTCTATTTAGCAAAGAACCCATTTGAAATTGTATTTTAGGCACTTTTATACCAGCAACCAGTAGCAAACACATCATTTGTTCCAATTTCTGAAGTTAAATGCACCAAAAATGCCAAAGTAACAGGTTTGACTAGCAAAAAAATATTATTTTCCCATCATGGTTGACAGTGTGTCCTGCACAAACTTGACAAATGAAGGAGAAAAGAAGAAATCCCACAATGACCTGACAGAACCTGAGACATGCATCTGAGCCTTCAGTTGACCCATCTACTGTTCACTGAAGCCTCATCAGAAATGGTCTCAGTGGAAAGGTCAGATTTTAGACCCACCATGAATTTGTATAGTGAACGGTGTCCATTTTCTGCATGACAGTTATCCCAAACACACTGCTAGTGCCAATGCAGAAAAGCATACATGGATAGAAAAACACAGCAGAACACCATCAGTCATGGTTGACCTCCCCAGAGCTCAGACCTCAACATTGTTGAAGCAATGTGGGATGATCTTGTCAGAGAAGAGAACAAAAGAAGAAACAGCCAAAGAAAAGTTTTGAATGTCATTCAAGAAGCCTGGAGAACTGTTCCTGAAGACTGCTTAAAAAATCCAAAACGACTAACTTAATAGATGAATGGATTTGAGATTAGTCATTATATTCTGTGGTCCTCTGTTATGTTTGAAACCAATCAGCTGAATGAAGTCAGTATTATAAACGTACCTTTAGGCACAAACCAGTGCAAATCAACTGAAGGACCAACATCCACATTCTGTCCTCAATCTGTACAGACACAAACAGCAAAGCTTTGATTAGGTAATCGTGTTTCATTGTTGTAGCTGAACAAATATGTGAAATATTCAATAAAGTGAGAACATAAACACGCAGGTTGATGGTTCACTCGCACAAGTGTTTAACACAGCAATTCATATCTGATGTCAACTCGGACTACAAAGCTCCTTTGACTAGCTGGCGTGTTTGCCTGAGCTAATATGGACCGGACAGCAGAATGTGTCATATTGCAGTGATTGATCCTGGTGCTACACCTGCCACTCCCGATATAAGTTCATTATATTAACGTTTGTGCCTGTCAAATGTTTAAACCTTTAGTTTTAGTTTTTTTTCTGTCTCAATTCAGTCCAAAAGTTGCCTTTATCTATCGCTGGGAGTAGATTTTTGTTCAAGTTAAGTACAACAGAGCCTGTGAAACCTGGCTGAAACATTTGAGCCCTAAAGAAAAAATGGGCCTGGTAGTTTCTGTACAGCCATTCCTGTAACTGTGAAAGTTCCCAGAAGCAAAGCACACAAAAGG